CCCGCCGCCACCAATGCTCAACATGACCGAGGAGCACGACAAAGCGCTGGAGGCTCCGTGCAGCCCGGCGGGCACCACCAGCTCCATGTCACACGTGGACTCGGACTCCGACTCGCCGCTGTCCCCCGCCGGTTCCGAGGGGTTGGGCTGCGCCCCCGCACCCGCCCCGCGTCCACCCGGCGCCGCTCCGCTGGGGGCTAAGGTGGACGCGGCCGAGGTGGACGAGCGGTTCCCCGCCTGCATCCGCGACGCCGTCTCGCAGGTGCTGAAGGGTTACGACTGGAGCCTGGTGCCCATGCCCGTCCGCGGCAACGGATCGCTCAAGGCCAAACCGCACGTCAAGCGGCCCATGAACGCCTTCATGGTGTGGGCGCAGGCCGCCCGCAGGAAGCTGGCCGACCAGTACCCGCATCTCCACAACGCCGAGCTCAGCAAGACCCTGGGCAAACTCTGGCGGTGAGTCCCGGGCCGCGCATCTCCCCCCCCTCCTCCGCGGGGCACCGCTCCGGGCCGCGCATCCCCCCCGCAGGGTACCGCTCCGCGCCCCGCGTCTTCGCTCCGGGCCGCGCATCCCCCCCGCAGGGTACCGCTCCGCGCCGCGCATCTTCGCTCCGGGCCGCGCATCCCCCCGCGGAGCACCCCTCCGCACCCCGTCCTCCATCCTCTCTCCGGGCCGGCCGGCCATCCCTCCGCACCCCGCGTCCTCTCTCCGGGCACCGCTTCGCGGGGGGCGCGGGATCCGCACGCAGACACTCGCTCCCCCCGCAGCGGGGCTGTACCAGCGGGACCCCCGCGGGCTGCCCGGGGAAGCGACGGGAGCTTTGCCTGGGGCTGCGTGGCTGAATCCCCCCTCCCACCGCTTTTTAAAAATATCTTTTTTTTTTTTTTTTTTTAAACTTTTTAAATTTTTCTTGCCCATCCGCACCCGTGGGGGATTCTTGAAGCGTTTCAAACTGAAGGGCAAACCCACCCCCTCCCCGCCCCGAGCATGTCGACCCGCTACGGAGGACGTGCCGGTTCTTGCTTCCAAAAAATTCAGGGGTCTGGGTGCCACGGGCACAGCCCGGCCGCTGCCGGTGGGTCCTGCCCCGCAGCCTGTGTCACGCGTGGATTTTCCCTGCTCCATCACTGAGATGTGCAGCCCAAGCCCTTTCCTCTCCTGGCCAGGCTTTCCCGTGTTTCTGTCCCCAGGAGACTGAGACTTTTTTGAAAACTACTTCTTTTACAATGGCTTTTTCTGAAAGTTTTTTCCCTTCCCTTGCTTGCCTGCTGCTTAACAAACTGTAAAACCAAACAAGCTGATTTTTAGCAGCTTTTTAAATCTGCTTTCTAATTTCCCTTCTCATCTGCCTGCTTGCATGTTCAACGCTGCCCACCAATGCAAACTTTTTTTTTTTTCCTGGGTGGCAAAAAAAAAGTGCTTTCTGCTTTCCAAGGCTCTGCGACGAGCCACGTTTTACCGCGTGGTATATTCGGTCGTGTCCGTCTGTACCAAACTCACATCTTTCCTGTCCGCTTGGGCCAGCGATGCTCCCGCTGCGGTTTGAGACTCTCCAAGAGTTTGCAAAGAGAGGTCTGGGCGGGGGAGAGTTTGGAAAGAAATAATCCCATCGCTGTTGCCTTCGTGGTTTCTTTGTAAGCACCAAACAAAGCTCAAAATGGGCAGCGTTGTTTGTCGCGGTGAGGGGGTGACATTTGTAGGACAAACATAGGAATAATATTTGGCAAAGGCGTTGAAATTGGGGCGGGGGGATTTTGTTTTGCTTAGTTATGGGTAGTCATAGTGGTTGGGGTTTTTTCACGCATTTATACTTCGTGTTTTGAAACATTTTTTGCAGCATAGTTTAGCTCTTTTTTTGCCACGGCAAATCTGTTTTGTAATTAACTTTTTGGTTGCTCAAATCAGTGTATGGTGAATGGGGATGTGTGAGTCTGAAAACAGGCTGAACACTTCTAGGGAAAAGACATTAATTTTGGATTATTTTTTTTTTTTCCCTCTCCCTCCTCCTTATTTAAAAAAAAAAAATATATATCCATCCAAAATTTTTTTTTTTTTTTTCCCCTCTCCCTCCTCCTTATTTAAAAAAATATATATATCCATCCAAACCCAGTTTGTTAAGCGAAAATGAGAAACGTCCCTTTGTGGAAGAAGCTGAGCGGCTCAGGGTCCAGCACAAAAAGGATCACCCGGATTATAAATACCAGCCACGGAGGAGGAAAAGTGTAAAAGCTGGGCAGAGTGATTCCGACTCCGGAGCAGAGCTCAGCCACCACGCGGGCACGCAGATCTACAAAGCGGACAGCGGGCTGGGGGGCATGGCCGAGTCCCACCATCACGGCGACCACACAGGTAAAGGACCCCCACGGGCAAGAAAAACCTGCGTGTCCCGGGCGCTTTGGTTTGGGACGTGAACTCACTGGTGGGCACGGGGCTCATCTGTCCCCTGAGTGAATATTGGTGGGATTGGGACCATCCAAAAGCAGGAGCTGTTGCCCCAGGAGCTGTGTTTTTTTTACCAGGTTGTGAACGTGGCCACGGTTTTCTTTAGTAAGTGCTTATAGAGCTGACTGTGCCGTAGGAAATCCCCAAATCGCAGGGATCTCGGTTTCCCCGTGAGCAGGGGGAATTAATTGCGAGCTAATAAGGGTTAATAAGCCATTGGCCATATGAAGGGTGTCTGGGGGAGCGGGTCCTGGAGAGGCGGCTTCCCCCCGGAGCTCCCCGCTTCTCGGCGGCGCTGCGAATTGGCAGAGGGTGCGTGTTGACAGATTCCAGGAGGATTGCGAACGTCCTGCAGCTTCAGACGCGTCTGCGCTCTTGCCCAGCCTGGCTGGGGATCCCAGCCCCAGCCCGCTCTGCTGGGACGGCTTCTCTGCCTCCAGGAGAGCCAGGCTGGCTCCAGGCTGCCTGTGGGAAGAGGCTGAGTGGGTCCCTCCTGGAGACCCAGGTTCTGCTTCCCAGGAGAGGGGTAGTTTGTGTGTTGGAGAGATGTCCTGCCATGTCCCAGAGTGACCCTGATGGGCACAGAGTGCTCCCTGCCTTCTCCTGCCCGCTGCACATGGTTTAGCCCAGCTGAGGACATGTCCTCCCTGCCACCATGCCAGTCCCTGGTGCTCCCCATCAGGCACCTCCAACATGGGGCCGTAGATATCAACCTCACTTGCAATAAGAGGGGGTGAAAACATGCATTTTATTTAATCATCCTTGAAAGAGTTGGGTGTTTTGTGGCTACTCTTGTTAAAAGTCTTGCTGTCCCTTCATCCCCAGGTCAGACCCACGGGCCACCCACCCCACCCACCACCCCCAAAACCGACCTCCACCATGGCAGCAAGCAGGAGCTGAAGCACGAGGGCCGCCGCCTCGTGGAGAGTGGCCGCCAGAACATCGACTTCAGCAACGTGGACATCTCAGAGCTGAGCAGCGAGGTCATCAACAACATGGAGACCTTCGACGTCCACGAGTTCGACCAGTACCTGCCGCTCAATGGCCACGCTGCCATGCCGGCCGACCACGGCCCCAACGCCGCCGCCGGCTCCTATGGCGCCTCCTACTCCCACTCGGCCACGGGCACCGGTGGGACCAACCAGGTCTGGACTCACAAAAGCCCGGCCTCGGCGTCGCCGTCGTCTGCTGACTCGGGCCAGCAAAGGCCGCACATCAAAACGGAGCAGCTGAGCCCCAGCCACTACAGCGACCAGTCCCACGGCTCCCCTGCACACTCCGACTATGGCTCCTACAGCGCCCAGGCCTGTGCCACCACCGCCTCCACCGCCACGGCCGCCGCCTCCTTCTCCAGCTCCCAGTGCGACTACACGGACCTCCAGAGCTCCAACTACTACAACCCCTACCCCGGCTACCCTTCCAGCATTTACCAGTATCCCTATTTCCACTCCTCCCGCCGTCCCTACGCGACGCCCATCCTCAACGGCTTGTCCATCCCGCCGGCCCACAGCCCCACCGCTAACTGGGACCAGCCGGTCTATACGACCCTGACGAGGCCTTAAAGGATGCGTGGAGTCCCCCTCCCCGAGGGCTTCCCCAACGTATGCACTAATGAAGGAATGAAGACGAAGAGCGTGGAGTGCCGCGATAGTTTCCGAAGTGCCTCCTGAGCCACTGGGAACTCTGCTCGTTGCGACTGGATGTCCCCTTGCTTCAAAACTCTCCAAAAGGACAGAGCTCTATTTTTCTTTAATACAATTTAAAAAAAAAAAAATTAAAAAAGAATTTAAAAAAAAAAAAACAACCACCCCGACACCGCCACCACGAAAAAAAAATAAATAAAAGGACGGGTGATTCCTTTTGAATAAATGAAGGACAAAACCATTCGACTCCTCTGTGAGGACTGAACTGAACTTACTCGTCGTGGAAGTTGACACGTGCAAAAGTGGAGCAGGGGGGTGGGAAGTTGGGGAGGGGGGGGAAGGAAAAAAAAATAAATCTGTTTGAGACTTTAAGGGTCTATTGCAATGTGAGGAACGGACCAACCTTGAGGGCAAGAACTCACTCGGACCAACGTGGATGAACCCCGAAAACCCGGCTATTCCGTGAAACCATCTCGTGGGAACAAACGAGTCTGGTGGGACCAACCAATTAAATGTCTGAAGTGTTTGTTGTTTTTTTTTTTGTTTTTTTTTTTGTTGAGAGTTCTTCTAAGCAAGGTTTGGCTGTAATTAACATTTTGTTTTTGTTTTTTGGAAGCTTAAAGTGTTTTTTGTTTTGTTTTTGGGTTTTTTTTTAAATCTGTTAAATTTTTTTTTTTTTTTTTTTTTTTTGTTGAGAGTTCTTCTAAGCAAGGTTTGGCTGTAATTAACATTTTGTTTTTGTTTTTTGGAAGCTTAAAGTGTTTTTTGTTTTGTTTTTGGGTTTTTTTTTAAATCTGTTAAATATGTATTTATGTTCTGTATTATTTTTGTCTTTTAATTAATGAAGTAATTTTGTGCAAAAAGTAGAATTTTAAAAGATTTTAAAGATGGGGTGGGGAGGGAGCATAAAAAAAAATAGTGGAGATGATACAATAAAATGGTGTTATGAGTCTATAGAATTTTTTCGTTGGGTTTTGGGTTTTTTTCGTTTTGAACCGCTGCAGCAGTCGAGTTTGAGAGAGGGACTGAACGAATCTGCCCATCGCAGACCTGGTCACCAACAGGAAACTCAAATGGGAATGTACAATAACGAGGGGGGCAGTGGGGGGGAGGGAAGTTACTAATTAAATTGGGAGGCTAAAACGGTTGCAAAAAGGAGCAGGCAATTTATTTTTTTTTTTCTAGCTACCTGCTTTGGGGAGTTAAAATTGGATTTAAGGCATTGCAGAGTCTTTGTACACTTTCAGAACCAGGACTACTTTATAGGAAGATGTAATTTAATGAGAAATTATCAACTTCTGCTTTAATTTTGGCTTCTAGGGACCAGATATCATCCATCAAGCTGTGAAACTAAAATCTTCTCCACTAAAAAATGTTTAGGTACTTAGTTTTAGACTAATATTTCATTGATATATTTCTACTTCTTCCATTGTATGCTGAGCATATAATAACCATCTATTTTATGGTAACTTGTGCCTTTAAAAACTTTGTAAATCTAAAAACACATTTCAGAGGTTATCATCTTTTTACCTTTTCTACGTTTCCTACTCTTTTTCTAAAAATATTTTTTGCATATTTCCTTTTGGGGACGTGGGGGTGGGGGAAAAATACAGAAAACTCATTTTTATGCAATCTATTTTTCTGTATAAAGTTTGAAAGACTTTGGCTGTTACTTATCTGTTCTCTTCACTAGCTTCTGACTAAGCAATGCTAACTTTTGTACAGATCAATTTGATAAAATTAAAAATTGCTTTTTATCAAGTATGTGTTATGTTTTCTTTCTGCTCAAACCTATTTCTGTGCTGAAAAGAAACGCGGAGAGCAGCTTTGAAGGAGACGGGCTATTCAGAATGAAATATTTTGACCGAGGTTTTCTGTTCTCCCGATGTTTTTGGTTTTATTGTGGTTTTTTATTTTTTCTTGCTCCTTTTCTCTGTATTTGAATGGTATTTTACTATGAGATTTTTTTAATTTTTATTTTTTTTTATTTTTACTTCATTGAGAAGTACATTTCCGCGTCTGTAATCCCAAGGATTTTGTAGGATTTCACTGAGACTGCTCACATGAGTGTAGGGGTTTGCGAGGTCAGACTTACACGGGTTTCGACCAAATTCATTTTATTCTGTGCAGCACGTAGGAATTTTACAGCAACAAATTCTGTTTTCTGGTTGGTGAGCCCTTGTAAATACCTCTTAATTATGATAGCAACAAAATTATACGTTGCATGTAGTGGCTTTTTTTTTTTAAATACAGTCATTAAAATAGTTACATTTGTGACTTTTTTTTTCTTATATAAACTAAGTTGCAGTTGGGTTTTACCCGTTCAAGACAAACCAGTGCAAGATTTTTCAGGCTGGGCCCTAATTGGGAGGAAAGGGTTGGGATTAGGGAAATTCAGCCGCCCCAGCCTGAGAGACGCGCTCGGGACTTGGTTGCAGTGCAGCGCTGTGGAAAATGTTTTAACATGAGGAAAATAAATGTGATGACAATTAATGAAGCTCAAGAACATTAACAAAGTCTGAACAACAGAGTCCCAAAGCAAATTTGCTGTTCGCAGTATCTGCCAAGAGCTATCTTGCCAGAGTGTCTGTAACTGGACACCATTTTCTCTGCTCTCATTTACAAAACTGCTGGCAAAATGACTTTATTACGCTATAAGCCAAAGCTGCAGAATAACTTTCAGAGGAGACTTTCTTTCCTCCTTTCTCCTCCCTCCGGTTACGATGCAAGTTTCAAGTCTTAATCCAAACTCCTGCTCGAAAAATAGATGTGTTTTGGCTTTGCCTGTTCTACGTGTTGAGGTAGGTCTTCCCCTCCAAAACAGGGAAAAAAGGGTGAGAAGGCGGAAATGTAAGTGCTTATCTTTACTTTCTTGATGTTTAATAGCAAAGCTTTCAGTGGCTTCACCGATCTCTACATTAATCTTTACAGCAGAGTTAAAATATCTGTATGCAGTGGGTCTGTCAATCACCCAATATAATGAAATTAAGAGTTGCACCGGAGCATCTCTGGCTTGTGGGGACGCGGTGGGGTCTGTGCACCCAGCAGGATGGGTCCCAGTACCTCAGGGAATGTTACTGAGCTCACCCCTCTCTCCTTTTTCTTCTTCTCCCAGTTTATCGTACCAGTGTGGGGTGACACCCGGTGAGCGCGGTGCCCTTGGATGTGTTTTTTGGGGGAGATATTCTTTCCTGCTGCAGGAGCCCCGGGTGGCTGTGGGGCCCCCTTCACCAACCTGGCGACTGCACCGAGGAAACCCACGTCCAAAATATGCAGGTTTTAAATCCGTTCGCTTCTGGCCACGCTTGTTTTTTTGCTTTCTATAAGCTTCGCAAAATCAAGTTAGCTTTTACTAATATTTGCAGAAATGAAATGCTATAGATCTCTACCCTTCACTTGGTCCAAGCAATAATGTGAGCCCTGGAGACCCCTCTGCAGCTCCTGGAAGCGGCTCCTGTTTGAATAGTTAATGCTGAATGCTGACATTCAGCTTTTTTTTTGGCATCCCACAGGGCAGGGAATACTCGCTCCACGTTTGCTGTCGAGTAAAATTCAAAGACATTATAAAATGGATGCTCAGGAAGGTGACAGGCAGGTAAAATTGGCTGGCCGGAATAATCCCAGTGACTCAGGCTTTAGGGTGCACTGGAAATTTCTAAGAGGACCAGAAGTTCCTTCCCCACACCTAGATTTACACTTAAACACACCGGTCTCCCGTTTCATTTCCTTGGGAGAAAACCACTGGTTGGGGGCACAGTTTATAGGCAGAGAAGAGCATTTTGATTTGAAATTCATGCTGTTGGTACGAATGCGTTTTCGTGCGTTGTCCTTTTCCTCCATTTTATGTGTAGATATCGTCTGTAGAAAGAGAAGTGATTTTCCATGAGCCGAGCGTCCCCCTGGCGTGAATGGCAGCATTGTGTGTCCCCAGCTCAGCTCTGGTGGCTCTTGTGTTGGCGTGAATCTGGAATGTCTCTGCAGAAGTCAATGAGATCAGGTGAAACCAAGACCGGCTTTTGACCCCTGGCTGTCAACATGAAAGGGTTCTCAAGATAATTGCAGGAATACACAAGCAGTAAAAGTTCCTCTTTTTTTTTTTTTTTTATTTTTGGGGCAGAGAATAATGAATGTTGCTACTTATCTGAGTTGCTCAGAAGGTACTGTTTAGTAAGAAAGAGGAAATTAATTTTATAGACCGTATCCACATTCCTTCTGCATGGTGGAAAAAGAAAAAGTCCCTTCCCATCCTCCTTATTATAATTTTTCCTGGAATGATATCAACTTTTGTTACACATTTTTTACAGTTGGGTATTAAGTTTATGGCAAAGAAATTCTTTAAATGGCATTTCTACCAGGGTGTTCAGTTTTAATAAACTTCCGTGCCAGTATATTCTTGCTCCCTGTCTACAGACTGACCTCCCCGAGATGTCTGGCTTTTCCAGCTGGGCTTACTGGTCCTGACACACATAGGGTCACGAGTGTGAGGAACAGGTCCCCCTGCTGAGGGACCTCCCCAGCCCTTCCCACACAGGACCTACTCCCCACGGGATCCCTGGGGATCTGAACACAGGGATTTTGCTGTCCTCTCACGCTGCTCCTGGAAGCATCCACCACGGGGGTGCCTGTCCTCACCCAGCATCTCCAGCCCGATGCTGGAGGAGAGGAGACGTGTGGCTGCCCCCTCCCTCTGCCACGTTTATCCTCCCATTGCCAAGGCCGGGCGCTCGCAGCCCCTGGCTACGTGTTGCCTGTGATCTGGAGGGAAAAAAACAAGTATATATAAAATAAAAATAACCAGAGGCATGAGTGGTGTTTGGAGCATGTGGTATTTAAGAGCCAGGAGGGCAGGGAAAGCCAGGTAGACCAGGTAGACCCAGGTAGAGCAGAGCTACGCTGCCCTGCAAAGCCAGAGAGATTTTGGGAGCTGGAGCAGTGGTGTGTGAGCCTGGGGGAAGGCTTGGTGGCCACACTAGCTGCTGGGAATGGCTGGTGAGCTGAGGAGATGCCATGGTGAACACAGCGTGGCACAGCCTCAGTCCCCAGGGAGTCTGGATAAACTAGACCCTGGGGGAAGACTTTAAACAAACTCTGATATTGTCCTATTTTCAGCCTTCAAGAGCACGAGGTTGGACCGAATTGACTTAGGGCTCTTTTAGGTCTGAAGGCATATTCTTAAGCATGAACTCACCCCAGATGGGCTCCAAACTCCCTTTCTGGGGAGGGGGAGTGAAAGCAGGGAGTTTCACATCAACTCCTGACCACTCCATGAGTGATGGATGGGGGAACCCCAGCTCTCAGGAGAGATAATGCCCCATGCCACCACTGCCAGGCCCTTCCTCAGAGACCCTGCCGAGGCTCCACAAGTGTTTTTGGGGCAGGCAACTTAGTTATCGAAGGGAGGGGAGCTGCACAGGACCGTGGGAACCAGGGAGACCAGGTCCATCCCTGATCCCATCTCCTCCACCACCACCCAGCTGAGCCGGGGGGTGGTGTAATTTCAAGTTCACTTTACGTGTGTTATACCCAGGAATTAAGGATGGCACCAAGTGGCATAGGATGAGGCTTGAGGAGGGGAAGCCATTTCCCAAATGAGTCAGCAGGAGATAAAAATAGTCCCCCGGAGCCCAAACCACAGAAAAATCATGCTTATTACAAATTGCTTCGTTCTCCTGCCCATCCTGCCTCCCCAGCCAATGCCGGGGCCACAGAAGCTGTGGAGCAATCCCTGTTTGTGTGATGGGATGCGATGAGATGTGATGTGATGTGATGGGATGTGATGGGATGATGTGATGTGATGTGATGCAGGGGCTGCTCCCTGATGGCAAGCGTGGGTTTTTGGAAATGCCAGCCCTTTGCTCAAGCCCAGACGGCTCATGGTGGGTCTCAGGACGTGGGTCTTCTGTCGCAGAGTATTTGCAGAGAAGAGCAGGTTTCAGCAGCGGGGCTGTGGCTGGAGCAGCAGCTGGTTTTGGGGCTTAGGTGGGAAGTGAGCTTATTTTTATGCACAAGAAGGGGAAGGGCAGGCAGCATCTTTCCATAGAACCAGGTGAAAAAACCCCAGTTTTAACAGGGCTCAGAAAACAAACTGACCCCAGCCTTCTGCTGCAACGTGCCGGTGATGCTGCCCAAAGGAAAGCCACCACGGTGGCACAGGAGTCACCGGTGGGGAGACCGTTGCCACCAGCCCAGGGGCTCTTGCTCAGAAATGGTTTGGCACCAGGATAAAAGGTGGTGGGTACTGCTGAAAGCGGGGCTCTGCCCCCCCCATGCTTGAAAGAGCCGCCGGCGTTCCCCCTGACCCCTATTAAGCTGCTCCCATATGGCTGCGGAGCTCAGCCATGCACAGTGTGTCACTGGCTTAACTGGAGTGTTGGTTTTGACCTGATTTAGTGAAGCCCCTGCAAAAAAAAAAAAAAAAAAAAAGCCAGTTGGACACACTTATTCAGGTTTAAAAGCCGGCTTCTTCTTCTTCCAGTTTATCTTAAACCAATTAGGAATGAAAAACAAGCCACTCCTAATCCAAAATAAGAGGGTGTCCCTCCCTGCCTCTTCTGCCTGCTCCGGGGGCTGTGTTGGTTTAGGGAAAGTGGTGGGATGCTGCCGGGGAGGGTGGGAAAGCAGTGCCTGGGCAGGGACACCGGTGCCTGGACCCCCGTCCCGCTGCGGCTCCGCAGCCCCGTCCTCGCCGCCGCGCTGGCATCGGCTCCCACTCCCCGTATTTGTTTGTGGATGTGTGTGCGGGCAATATTGTGACTGTCAGA